GGAGGATCATGGGACTTAGTAACCAGAGTTATAAATAAGGTAACTAGAATTATAACCCCAATTAGGGTACTTGTAACCTTACTTACTAAGTCCCATGATCCTCCAAGTAAGCGTTTTGAAGCAATTTCGGATCAAGGTTAATCGAGCACAAAGGACGATGTGTTTAAGTCATCCAGCCCTAGGACTCTGTTACTGTGCCATCGCACTTGAGGGTTTGGGGTGTAGTATTGCGTCTTACTCTCCAGGTTTGTCTTCAACATCGTAGCGCCCCCAAACGTCAATCGATTCGCAAACCTTGTTGCGCGCAGCTGTATTCCCTAAACCCTAAACCCAAAACCCTAAACCCTAAACCCAAAACCCTATTGTATGGAGGCTGATCGAAGAGGGCAGCTATATACACTTGGAGGTGGACATGCGGGGGGTGACCGGAGCTCAGTCACAGGGAGTTTGCTTTAGTTCTCAGTGGTGAATTTGTTTTGGTCGGGCTCCTTAGCCCGTAAATCCTGATAGCACGTAAACCCTAAACCCTAAACCGTTAAATATTGTTTGATACTTGGGTTCTGCCGTAACAAGTCGCAGGCTTCACCAGGAAGACTGACTTCTTCAAATACTTTGTTTGAGGGATGCCTAAACAGAAAGCATGTTGAGACAGTGCTCGCCTCTGCGCGTCTTCTTCTGGGATTCGGGATGCTTGCTCAGGGTTTTTGAGGCTTCTTCAGGGTTGTGGGACTTTTTGGTTTAGTATGGTATTTTGTTCTGTCATGGCTTACCTTCAGTTCGGTAATGCATGTGTTCGCTCTCTCTTGTTGCCCGGGGTTTACGGCCGTGGATTCGAATCCTCGTCACATCCGGGACTTCCAGCATTTTGGCATGTGGAGTTTAGGCTCCGAGAGGGCGCAATGCCGCACCGTGTACTTTTAAACAGCACCCCCAAACCCAAAAACCCCAAACCTAAACCCCTAAACCCTGAACCCTGAACCCTAAACCCAAAACCCTGAACCCTAAACCCCAAACCCTGAACCCTGAAACCTAAACCCAAACCCCAAACCCTAAACCCCAATCCCAAAACCGGATCCTCAAGCCGAAGAGCTTGGGCCTTAGATGCATCAAAACTCTCAGCCGGGTCCCCACATCTTGGGAGCCCTAAGGCCAACTCCTGCAAGCTAACTTTCGGAGCTGCATCCAAGATCAGTTCATGTAGGGGCCTAAAGAATGACCTATACTATTTTGGGGGGTTCCTTATCATTATAATTATAGTATAATGTACCCCAACAGTAGTCGTATAACATCAGTAGCCCCCGTAAACCTGCCGGCTCCCTACGCTGAACCCTAAACCCTAAACCCTAAACCACCCTAAACCCTAAAACCTAAAACCTACACCCTAAACACATTGAGCTCTACACCCTAAA